CCGCTCGCCACCATGACCCTTCTCAGATTTTTGTACTTTTTGTTTTTTTTTTTTTTGGTGTTGTGGTGTTTTTAGAGATGGTCGCCATGTTGGCCAGCTGGTCGTCAACTCGACCTAAGTGATCTGCCCTCCTCGCCTCCCAAGAATGCTGGAATATTAGGTGTGAGCCACCGCGCCTGCCAACTTCATGAATTTCAAAGGTCACGCAGCTAAGATGTATGCATGGTACTACAAAAAAACAGCTTGTTTATAAGGCCTCCAATTCTTGGACATACTTGTTCAAAATTATTATACTCTGAGTCTGCTAAAAATAAAAGGTGAAAGCCAACAATGGGCTGTGAATCCCATCTGTGTTGCGTCACTCAGTGAGAGATACGCACAGAAGAAAGAGCATGAAAGTCGCTGGCGGAGAACGAGGTCTCTGGACTCTGCCTAGCAGCCTGCAGAGGGCTCAGTACAGATCGGTCTGGCTAGCGATGCATTGTCTCCCTGCGAATGTATGGTAGCCCTATTTAAACTAATAGAGGGAACACCTCTATAATCCTTACTAGGAGAAGGTTTAGAAGTATGTCTGTATCTGAGAATGCACGTCACATCAGTGTGTTTATCTGACACCAGAGCGGTCCTCCCGCTCCTGATTTTTTAGTCCGGTAGAGGCTGGACCGCTAGTTCAATTTATAACCAAGAACTCAAGAAGTGGGTGGTGTAGGCAGTTGTCTAGACTACTCAAACTGTATGTAGCTCCATACTCTCCGGTCACGCATTCTCCTGCCTCACTCTGTGGAGCCTCTCACACTAGGTCGTGAGCTACCACTCCCAGCCGTCAGTAGGGCTTTTAATGATGAGCATTTACTATTGGTAATTTACATTTGGAAAAGTAATTAGCTGCTGCATTTTATTGTTTTATCTTCCACACACCTACTTTACACATAGAAATCATGCAGTAGGTCCTGAAGTTACTATTCTTTCTGAGGTTGATTTAGCCCATGGGAAGCATATACCAGCCATAAATATTCTGCACGGACTCACCCAGGATGCCAAGATGCTCTTCTTCAGGGCCTCTCTCCTTTCGATTTGTGAAGGAGGCATCTGTGTACTCACGATAAACCAGCTTTTTATAAGAGCCTCCAATTCTTGTGGTACCTTGTTCAAAAAACACCGCTGAGTCACTGCCGGGGGAAAAAAATGTTTAATGCTGGGGTTGAAGTAGAACAGAAAGCAGGTATTCACTTAAGGTGCTAATTTAAGAGAAAAATTCTGACCAGTGCTTAGAGATGAATATTATCCATGATTTAGAGCAATCCGTACCAGTTACTCAAACAAAGCAGACAGTTCCAGGCCACTCATAGAAGGATGGTCAGTTAAGAAGTAGAGAATCATGGAGGATGTTTATTTTTTCAAGTGAAGAGAAAATTTTCAAAAGGGCCCCTGTCAATCCCTTGACAAAGGATTCTACCATAGAATCTTTTTATCGAATTGTGAAATGTTTAAAAACAGGTGTGAGCCACCGCGCCCGGCCAACTTCAGTAACTTTCAAAGGTCACGCAGCTAATGTATGCATTGGGTACTCACAAAAAAACAGCTTTTTATAAGAGCCTCCAATTCTTGTAATACCTTGTTCAAAAAGTATTATACCTCTGAGTCACTGCTAGAAAAATAAAAGTGGGATCCACAGCAGAATAATACATCTTAGCT